TGTACTAACTTTAGCGGCTTGTATGATTGATCTTATTCTTGACTCCCTCCCCGCATGAATGTGTCTCGTTGTACTGCAACTTACATGGTCCCGGATCATACGACCTTCTCCAGTCTTTGTGAATGAAACGTTCAACTCTGTTCATAAATCAATCATAATAATAAATTTGCTCAGTTGGATAGCCCTGAGCAACACTTCGCACATCTCAGCTGTGTGTGTGGCTCATTCTGAACACATGTGGCGTGCACTTTTACACCTGTGCTACAGGGTTCACTGAAATCACTTTACTCCATCTCGGGTACATTCTCCGGGAAAAAATGCACTTTTCTAAACCAAAGATAACATCCGAAGGCGAGCTCCTCGTGTTCCTGAATTATTATAATTTCACACATCATGTTTCGCCGACCAGCGCGTGATCACGAGCGTTTGCGGAAAACCGAGGCTATACTGAAAGCATTTCAAACATCACTACACACACACACTGTGCTAACTGCACTTAAAACGCACCGTGATGCCGAACCCCATCATCGGTGCGATAACGGAAGACAGTGAGCAAGCTGTCAAGTCAATCAAAACGTACGGTATTCGACGCATTATTTTATCACACTTGTATTAGAACTCAGAGCAACGATCAGCAGTCGTTCGGAAAACATGTAATCCCAACCAGGTTCCTAAAAGTGCTCAAATACTTTTTTTTTCATTGACTTTTGGCTGATGTGCAATACACAAGCAGACGTTTTTTTGCGTATACTTTTCGTGATCACTAGTTTACTTTCCCTACTAGCAGAATACATCAAATACGGCTGGAGTGCTAAAGATACAGGACAACAATGATCATTTCTACTTGGTGTTTTGGGATTCAACAAAATCGTGCAAAACTGAATTTATCGAATATATTTGTTTTGCATGTGCTTGACAAACAATTTTTAAGGATCTTCCATAAAAGTGTACGATTTGTAATTTACCAGAAAATGGTCCTTCTGCCAATCACTTGAAATCTGGTACGTATTGATATAAGTCGACTGGCTTCTAACTGGTTTCCCATGTACGATAAAAGTTCAAACGATTGCGCAACGATTGGGCAGAATGTACGTCAGGAGATTTCAATAATTTGAACTAACTGAGCTGAGGCAACCATGTAATACTTGAAACTCAATCAATGAAATTCAGCACAAGCGGATTCTTACACAACATATTTATTACTAAACTAGTAATCAATTCCAAAAGCGTTACATCATTTTGTTATCTGTATGTCTAACTGTCCATTGGAATACTGAACTTTCTATCCATGCGGTATGCGATATTGCTAATTAATCAAGGTAGCAGGAATGATTTTTCTGTCATACGGCAGTAGTTGCATTTTTTGATAATATTGAGTTAGTTAACAAGTTACTGTAAAAGCGTTTGGTGAAAATTATTTAAAAGTATATATTTTTATTTAATTTATCTAAAGTACTGCATCCTACAATGAGTGGTAACTGTAGGAGCTGAAAATTGAATTTAACCTAACTAATTAATCACTATGGATACACATTCACTATTGCTTGATCACACCTTAGCACTGCGGCAATTACTTTTACATTCGACGTAAGAACAAAGTTTAAACGATATGTTTTGAGAAAGTATCTGGAAAACCCCTATTTTTGACCTCCTCTAAACTTAAATATCGATATTATCAGCTCAGCAAATCTGTCATAATGGCTGTACCAACTGACTCCGAAAACCACATTCAAGGTGAACACTCACCACGAGGAAGATCAATTGCTCACCTTCATAAACTCATTCAGGAGAGATTGAGACTTAACCCGGAACAGGCAAAGGAAAAGTTCCTTGAAATAGACAGCTACAATTCTGGACGAATCAACCTGGAACAATTTTATCAACTTCTGAAAAGGTGAGTAGGGGCATCTAATTTGGGTTTATTATCAAGCCCTATCAAAATTTAAGTACACCTTCGAACCTTCTACTCGTGATTCTGCTCATTGTTCACCTTAATTCAAGATTACCTGAGTGTCATCTATAAATCATGAAATACCTCCATGGATTATGAACACAGAACGTAGGCGAACATGTTTTAGTGTATTTCTATTCAAGCTTTTACAGTCATTTCTAGATGAAATAATTTCAGATGTTAGCACCTGCAGAGGTGATTGGCATCCGACTCATGAAGTGTAAACTGTGCGCACAACGAAAATTAATCCAATCTCTCAAGCTCCCCTGGCCAAGGGAAGAGAAAAGTGCTTGTTCGAATGGCCATCACTTAACAAAAGGACTTTTGGTTACGTAATTCGAAGAGCTTATCATTTTAGTTCTCTCGGCCTCATTGTCACACATGCACTACTCCTCCTCTATACTGTTTAACCATGATGAATTAGTCTCGTATGAATGTGATTGTTAATCCTTGATAAGTAATTCACCGAAAACAGCCCATTTAGTGTTCTTATTGCTGATAAATGTCATTTTATTTTGACTACTCAGCAAGAATTTCAGTAGTCTGACTATATATCCTGTCAAACTTATTTGACCTCCACGGATGAAAAAAACAGAATCACTCTATTTCTTGGGTCGACTGAGAGGAAAATCGATTCCTTTGGGAGGTATCAAATCCATTGGGTTACGAATTAACGCAAGGTACATAATCGTATGAACTTATAAAGTTACAAGTAAATCATTTGTCATGAAAAGTGAAAATCTTTGCAAAATTAAATAGGATAAATGTTGTATGCCACACTGCTCGAGTTAGCCAATACGGATTCGAATCACTGCAAACTTGCATCACAAATTGATTAGGTCGTCAAGAGGGCCAACGGTCGTTTTCGAGAGAGGAACTTTGATAAAATTGAAGCAAGACATTTTTCGAGATTAATTTCAGAAAAAGGTCATTTACCAATACCGCACGATTTACGTCCAAGATGATCTGAAATAGTGCATATTGTAGAAAATGCTACGTTTATATGGTACTTCAGCATGGCAAGTAAAACAAAACACATTGAAACAGACAAAATATAAAAAGAGAGGGGTAAAAGGATCATGCGAATACGTTAAGGACAGATTAAAAAAAGATATTTTTGGTGACACAGAGAGGGCCTCCATCGATTAACCGCAATCACTTCAGTAAACCTTAGCAATCTTGCGACTCGTGATTGGTAGACAATCCGAAACGCTGTGATTCAGTCGATCTGACGTAGCGTCATCAGCACCTGTCAAGAAATGACTGAGTACAGGGCATATAGTTCCGACGTCCTTTCTATGCATCGAACTCGGCCACATTAACTGATTTTGGACCCAATTCTGAATATGTCCCACCACCCGAATGTG